AGCCGTACTGAAGTTCGAAGACTGAGGTTGCAATTGAAAGATGAAAATTTCACAGTTATGCCGACGGAAGAATATAAAAAAAAAGAAAAATTCTAACAGATATTAACCTTTGGATGGTGGTGGCTGGGTTAGTAAAGAATTGATAAATATTTGTTGATTTTTTAAAATCACATGCTCCTTATATCATAAAGATATATAAAAACAAGTAGAACAAGAAAGCTCACTTTTATAGTCTTCCGAAAAATACACCTTCCGAGAGCAAGTCAACAAAAAACACAAAAAATATAGAAAAAGCAGAAATTATTGTCGTGTAATGCGGTGTTTACTAAAGTATTCTACAATAGAACAGTAAGCCTTAAATCTTAAGAAATTAACCAATAACTGTCCAATGTGAGGAAAATATTGAACTATATTGGTCAATTTCTTAGAATAACAAGGTTGACTAAAAAAATCCTGCGGATAATAATTTATTACACCTCAACGTAGGTATTACTATACGTTGCTGCATAATTATCATTTTACTAATATGTTACCTCTAGTTTTTAACTTATACATTTATTTTAATTAACTCCAAAATCTATTATCTATATTACAATCCTAAATATAACCAATAATTATAGCTGTTTATCATAATTATCACTCGTTTTTATTTCTTATCGGTCTGTAAATCAATATAAATATAAGTCAAGTTATCAAATTTTATATTAATTTCTAGTTTCTGTACGAAAAAAAACATGGTAACAAAATTAACAATACAATTTTATCAATGCAAATTAAACTTACCATATGATTTACCATTTAATATCTTGTGACAAAAAAATAATTATTTATTTGTTACATTAATTCTAAATTTATCACAAATTTTATTTTGGACAAAGCTTAAATTGAAAAACATTCTTTCAATTAACGTTTAAGTAGAATGATACTATAATACCGAAAAAAATATCGATAATAAAATTTTTTATTCATTTTATTGCTTTTAATAGAAAACCTTCTGTTTCCTTCGGTTTTTACGAAATACCAATTTTTACTACTGGTGTAGACTTTACCCAAAAAAATGTGGAATTTTGCCAACTCTAGTTTAAGACTTACTGCAGTGTAAACATCGCGTAATAGGCATAAAAATAGACAAAGTCAATAAACAATATCAAATGTAAAATAATTAATAAGAAATATAAAAACATACGAAGATAACCATAAGATTTCCAAGAAAAATAAATAAATAATACCCTCTGCAAATAATATTTAAAAAGTACATAATATCCGATAATATTTTGAAACATATAGATATTTAGTATCAATCTGCATGTCATAGTTTTCTTTAAAACATTAATATACAAACAATAACAACCAAACAATTAGTATGATAGCGTTCATATTAATTACACGTATGAATAAACTCCATTTTCATAATAAATTTTAAATTAAGTTTTTATATTATTACATATCTTGTTTATCACGATTAACGTACAATAATAATTAAAATAACGTAAACACACAGAAAAAATAACAGAGAATAGTATAATGTTGTAAAAAAACATCGAGTGGACGAAAAACCAAAATTTTTGCCACAACGTTGACGCGATCGCGAATTAAAACCTTTGAACGGGCGGAGAATTATTCAGCGTCACAACGATACGACCCGAGCGACCACCGTTCTTTTCTTTCTCTTCATTTCCCCTGGCTCTCCTTTATCCCGTTGCTCCATAATTTAGCGACCTACGCAGCTTCTACACCGAGACGAACACCGACATCGTCGGCGAACCAGCAAGTATTTGGAACGTTCTCTTCGTCGCTACGCGAGTTCGGCCCTCGAATTCCTAAACGTCGTGCTCATCTCTTCGACACTTCGCCAGAGCTTAAAGACCGCGATCGCGCGCGCTTTCCTCCTCGTCGAAAGTTGGCACGGGAATAAAACTCGTGACACGATTAAATTCATTCCTGAGAACGAGCGGCGAGTAGCTCGGATTTCAAGTTTCGCTAACTGGTGTAGCGCTGGGACCTAAAGTATTTCGAATTATAAACTTTTGTTACGTGCAGCAGTTGGAATAAAATTTCCATGCCCCCGTAAAAACTCCCGAGTAAATCCCCTTCTCGCGGAAGATACCAATTACCGACATTATACGTATTGCTAATTGAACTTTGGAGTAACTTCTTTGTGTATACGAGTAATAAAAAAATAATATGTAAAGAATTGTACACAAAAATACGTAGTTTACATATTTATATTTATGTTGTTCTTACTTTATAAGCTTAATTTAATTTTTTCACTTTTTTTCATTATTAAATGACTTCCTCGCCATTAAAATTAATTCCATTTTTTTCTATATTAGTCTTATCTTAATCTAAAGCAACGCGTGTTTCATGACAAACATTTCCTGGTTACATCACATTCTCTCTTTCTACATCATTAATGAATTTCTTTAAAAGAACGCAGTCCTCTTTATATTCTCGCACACAAAATCACATTCGCACATACGCTCGAATTAATAGAGTCCAATTATTATCATATCGAAGATAATTAAAAATTTCTTGGACAATCTACAAGTCAATCTTAATTTTTTCCAGACATTCCAGATAATCTTAATTTGTTTTCAAGATATTCTAGTATCAATTATTCTTCAATAATTAATGAATAAAAAAGTAAACGTCAATGAATAAGTTACGCTTTTATAATGTAAATAGATAATCAAAATTATTGTTATTCTATTATTGTTATTCCATTACCAAAAAAAGAGTCTAATAATAGTAGCTATCAAATATTGTAAAATAATTTCAATTAAATTTTCGGTTATTAATATAAAAATAATTTTATTTCTCTAAATATTTAGTAATTATTACTAAAAAGTTACACATTATTATTATATTTAGTAGGTCTTTGTTAAATATCTTATTTTATATTAACTAATTATGTACTAATTAAATATACGATTAAAATTATTTCACTCAACATTTGGTAACTATTATCAGATTCTATATTTACTCAACAAATTAAAGTATCACATAATAAAATTAGCGCTGAAAAGAACAAAATTTAAAGTTAAGTGTCTTTGCGAAAAAAATGTTTGCAGAGTGATGTTTAAAATAGCATTTGAAAACTTGAAACCTCAACTTTCGAATACTCCGAACCCCATGTTTTTAAAACAATTTCACTACAAACAATTTTTCAAGGTTCACTTTAAATTAGTGTCGTTTGTAGTAAAATCGTTTTTCTATCTCATAGAGATACGTGATTTAAAGCACTCGAGAGTTGAGATTTCAAAACTTTAAAACGCCCTTTTAAATATCTTTTTGTGACGATACGATATTTTTTGCGAAGCTACGTATTTCGAATTTGATTCTTTAATTTATTGAGTAGTGATTTTCAAACAATTTTTATCTCGATAAACATATAACATCAGTATTTTCCACATACATAATAAATATACATTTTCATCAAGAAAGATTAATGTCGAATTAAGCAAAAGAAACCGCCTCTATTAGCTTTTTAAAAAGTTAGCTCTTAACTCTCAAAATTTCAATATAATTGATAAACTTCTGACTTTCTTATATAGGGATTGCTAATATTACATCTTGAAAAGAATTCCGATAATTAAATACCTACTCAAAGGAATAAAGATCAAAAAAAATTCTGGCAACTTTTTCTACAAACTTTATGGAAGTTGGTGCGGTTAGGAGGGCGCATGGGATATTTTCTCGTGGAAAATCACTGAAACGATTGTCACGAAATTGTCTTGACGACTCCTTAACATGCTAGAATTTGTGCTACACTTTCGATGAACTAACGACAGCAACCAACGACGATGCCATAACAAGCGCCATGCATCCGCGTCAAGATCAATAAACAAGGCGTCAATCTTCTGTGACTCATCCCCCATAATCGCACCGCTTTACCACCACGGGGACGAGTACCCGCTTCTGCAGCCGCAGTAACGTATCAGTGACCCCGAATTACCCCGGGCAACCCCCCAGAGCAATTCTTAAGCCGTTTGACAGGCTTTTAAAACGCAACCAATGGTGAATAAGCAACTGAGAATTAGCTTTAAACGTTATTCAAGCCTTTAAAACACGTTTACCGTTGATAGAAATATTTTAAAGATCTCCGAAAAAAGGTCACAGAAAGATATCTTATTAAAGAGAAAAGCATTTGAAAATTTAAAATCTCAATTTTCGAATGCTTTAAATCAAGTGTCTCTGTAACTTTAAAATACTTCTACCGACGGGGTGGAAGTGTTTTAAAAGAAACCTAGGTTTTCTTCATAGCCTACCAAGCGAGGTGGAAGAGGTTGGCTTTATTATCTTAAGTTTCTTTTAAAAATCTAACACCATTTAAACTTTTAAAACATTTCTAATGGTGGAAATTTTAAAAGGAGAATCTACACTGAAAAAAGAATCTGATTCACTCTGATTACATTAATTCTTATTTAAAAATAAATGGAGACAAATCAAAATTTTCTGATTGAATCTATTACGATTACCTGAAATAACCAAAATTTTAATATAATCAGAATCATCTAATTCGTTTATTTTCAAGAGAGAATTACACCGAGAAATTTTTCTCAGTGTAGATTTAAAGGAAATCCAGATGTCTTTTAAAATACTTTTATCATAGAAATATGTGAAAGGTCTAAATAGCGCATTTAGGCTTGAAAGGAAAGATAATTATGCTATCCCTTCCAGCTCGCTTCGTAGGTTGTGGCGATCACGGGCAAGATTCCTCGCAGAGATAAGCGATTTCCTGCTGTGACAATTCGTTCAACCAAATGTCAAAAGTGGCCCAATTTCTCGACTCTATGTGGTTCTAAGTAGTTTTTAAGTGCTTTCTCGTTTTCATTTCTGCTTGAGAAAAAAAAAAAAGGTGAGCACAGAGAATAGAAAAGAACGCTCGACGCGCAGATGCACTCGCCACTTTCGTAAAAGAAAGGGGAACTCAAGAGCGCATAGGAAAAAAAAGAAGAAAGAAAAACGATGCGAGTGAAGCTGATTCTGTTTCCACTCACCGTGGTGGCTTCTTCATGGCTTGCGCTGGCTTGTGGCTCGGCATGTCACGTGTCGCTGCGAACGTACGTCGTCAGGCGTCGTTCCATGGTATCCGCGGCGTATATCTCTCTCGTCGCGGGGAGGACGAGATCGGCGCGCGTCTAGATTCTCGTTGGCGCGACGCGATCACGCACCACTACCAGCAAGTGCACACCGCGCGGCACTAATACACCACCGCGATCGCCGTGCCGCCCGCCACCCTCCTCTCCCTCGTGCCGTCGTATAGTAGTGGCGTGTAACAGCGGAGTACGCGACGGGGAGGGGGGAGGGGGAACTCTGGCAACGTCGCCTCGCCGCACCGAAACGCCGTCATACACCCCGCGTATATAACGCGTCTCTCTCCTCCTGTCCCTCGGCACACGCTCGCTTTCTCTCTCCTTTCCGTGCGTTCGCAACTTCCCGCTCATTCACCGCTCTCGCCGCTTACTCCAATGTGTCCGCTCCAATGTCGTCCCCTGTGCCCCGAACGTGCACCTACTTCTACTACCTGTACGCACGCGACATGCACACACACGCACGCACGCACTCGGGGTGCGGGGTGCCACCGGTGACTCGCCGCCGTCCCCTGATCCGCCGCAGACTCGGATTCACGATGCCAAATTCAAGACATTCGCTACAATCACAGTCTCCTCGCGATATCCTCTCTTTTTCTTTCCTGTCTTTTTTTTATTTATATATATATATCTATATATGTCTCTTGTTACTCGCTCGATTCGCGCGCGACAATCGGCACGTATCCACGACGCCCTAAGAAACCGCGAACACCGCGTTCCTATACTTCCTATACGCGCGGCGCGGCGCGGCGTCGCGCTACGCCGTGAAGTGCGCTACGATCCGCCGCGACAGTCACTTGTTTCACTTGCGGCGCGAAATTAGTCGGGGATTACGTTCGATTCGAACGGAGCGGAACGCGCAGATCTTCCGTCGCGTTTTCTCCCTTCCCTTCCCTTTCTTTCTCTCTCTCTCTCTCGCTCACTTACTTGCTACGTCTCACTCGCTCTTTCTCCACTGTCTCGCACTCTGTCACTCTGACTCTCTGTGTCCGTCTCCTTTCTCTGTCTACCTTCGCACGAAGCGATTGTTTTGCCGCACTTGCGATACACTTGCGGAACACCAACTACGCGACTATACGAATCCGTGCAACAGCGAGATTGACGTACGGCGATTTTAACGCGCGCGATGACACCTGCGTTTCCAAATATCTCGCCATAACGCGATGTCACCCTTATCGGAGGTACTCTCACTCGCTGGCGCTGGCGGAAGCCATATTGCGATCACTGTCGTGCCACAGCAGGAGCGGCCAATTGGCGAGGGGACGGGGGACTGTGAACGCTCGCCCATTGGTCGAGCGCACCTGGCAACGTGGGCGACATCTGCGGGTGGACATGCGCGGCCCAGCCTCGTAGACGCTGTTTTACCACCCATACGATACACGCGCGACGCGACGCGACAACGCCGTGTGTGTATATATAGGTATACACGGCGCAATCTGCCGTATCGCTTCCGATGCACCGCGCGACCTTTACTTCCGTTGCTTAATCGCGACTTTAAAGCCCAGAACAATTGCTGATCGTTCGATCCGTGTGATTAATCGCGCACGTACGACTTGTAAAAATTAAACTAAAAATACTCGAGAGAAAGAAACATAGTGTAATGACAGAGCAAAAACTATTTCTCTTTTTACATACACTCAAAGAAAAATATATAGCTATAATGATAGCAATTACATAGTGATAAGTTTTATATTAAAGTTAATGTACACTCCGGGCCAAAAGTTTGACTTGACATTGTTAAGATTACTTACTCAAATATCTGTAATACGTTGTTTTTTAACAATAGTTCCTCAGATCCAGTAACAGTCGTCAACAAAAATAAATGTTAAATTAAAAAATTATTGTTACAAAATACATTATTATGCGTATTTAAAATAATCTCAAAAGTATCAATTTTTTTAAGTGTTTTCAAACTAATATAGTTATAGGTATATTCTTTATTAATCACCAAAAGTAAACTAACTTAATTTCACAGTCCGTTCGCTAAATAGTAATTGTGCCATTAAGATTTTCAAAGAAATCATAAGTAAAATCTTCGACAAGAGTGACACATTTTGAAATGTGTTATTTTTGTAAATAAAAAAAGAAAAATAATTCTAACGAGATTATTCAGTGTTAAGATAATTTTGGTAATTAAAAAGTTTGAAGAAGAAATTATTTTAATTTGGATATAGTATGTATATGTATATAATCATTTTAGCTGATCAAAATAAATATGTCACCGCTAGTGAAATATTTTGAGTTACGTATGTTACCTCTTTAGTATGTTTGATGAATTATTTCGAATTTGTTATAATTTTGTAGGACGTGTTAAAATTATATTAAAACTTAAAGAGGATGATTTTTTTAGAAATTGTGAAACGAAAAAATAATACTTGACAAAAATAATACTTGTTTCTAAGAGTGGATGATCTACATTACATTTGAGTCAATAATTTTCTGTTAAGTTAAAAAATAGTTTTTTTCTCTTTTCTGAAAAGCTCAATTGTTTAAGTTATATTACTTTTCATAAAAACTTGTGTAGTTATTATCTATACAATTTTACTATCACTATGTCTCTTTCTCCGATGTGAAAAATATACAAAAATACACAGTTCCGATATTTTTCCTTAAAAAAAACATCAATTGTACACATCAATTGTCCTGAGAATCTATTAGACATTAAAAAGTATAGGAATGCTGAATTCAAATCCTCTATATTTAGCATCATGTTATTATTATAATATAATCGTAATGTTATGCATAAAAAAAAAACAGAAAATTGTTCCACATAAATAGAACAACAATTTGTTGCGTATCTAATGCGAACACCGACATGTATTATTAAAGATAGTACCTAAGCTCCTTTGATATTCCCTTTGGCATTTAGGAATTCAAGTACGAGAGGGTTAAATGCAAGAGATAATAGCCACCTGCGACGGACACTTGGTCCATCAACATACTATACCCACGCATAAATTGCTTATCGTTCATCCAACCCTCGCCCGGTTAGATAATTAGTCAAGGCATTCGATCACCTATAAACCCTTCCAACTTTCTACTGACACCATTATCGAACAATGATCGCACTGTTCCAGTCGTTGGGAGAGAAAAAGAGAGACAAAATAGACCGGATCGATCGTGCTACGCGTCGCGAAGACTCGTTTTGCGGCGCAGCAAAACAAAAACAAAAAGATAACAGGAAGCCACACAACTTTGTCGCACGGATCTGTCATCCGCGCAAAGTGGAACGAGATTAAAGAATTTCCGCAATTCTACGACGGAATATATTATAAGTCGATACGTGGTGGATAAGTTGTCATTTGCGACGAAGGTAAACACGATTTCCGCGTTTATCAATAACATAACTGAAGTTACACGAGGGAAACTTTCAGCACTTTGATGAATTTTAATCATCTCATTGCTCGTAGAAGATGCCAAGAAGAAGAGATCTTGATTGAATTATGTTGATAATACACAACGGGAAAAATAATAAAATTATTTAATATCTGTATTTTTAATTGATATACTGTAATAAAAATCTTGTATTTTATACGTTTCGAATTTATCAATTAAATTTAAAAAAATGTCTACATTGCATTTTTGTGTAATATTAATATCATAGATTTTAATCACTTAACAATACTAGATATTTTTCTCATGAATGCTAATCGCGTTCTGTCGCTTCTCTTAATAATGTATTTCGCGCGAAATAAATCATTTTTATTTATATACTAAGAATTTATTGATAAAATTTAATAAATTTTTTACATTTTTTGTGATATTACAGGTTTTTAATCAACAACCATTTGACGACTAGATCTCTTTAAATTAATGCTAATCATATCCTGCTACGTATCTTAATAATGTATTTCACGCAAAATAAATCGTTTTTTACACATTGAGAATTTATCGTTTAAGTCTGAAAAATATTTTCCACTTTACATGTTTTTAATATTAATATCATACATTAGTTTAATCAACAACATGGCAATCACTTGGCAATACTAGATTATTATAAATTAATGATAATCACGTATCTCTCGTTATGTTTTTTAATATATTTTGCATGAAATAAATCACTTTTTATACCCTGAGAATTTATCGATTAAGTTTAATAAATTTTCCCACGTGTCATTTTTTATGTAATATTAATATCATACATTAGTTTAACGACAACATGGTAACTTGACAGTGCTGTATTATTACGAATTAATGATAACTACGTTTCTCCTGTTATGTCTCGTAATAAATGTATTTCGCGTGGAATAAAAACGGTAGAAATGTTATGTGCCTACTTTCGCGAGCGCGCAGGAAATACCTCGCTACCGCAGAGGAACGAGAAAACAGGAAATACCGTCTCTTGCGGTTTAGTTCTGTATCTCGACATATGGCGACCTCATATTCTAGCTGCAACGCTTTATCAATAAGACAATTGCGACAGCCAATTACACGCGAATGGTGTGCTGCCGTTAGATATTATTAACGCCGAACGCATTACATAGACCGTTTCGAGATCTGCGCGCGGAAAGTAATGCTTAGAAAGTAATGCTGAGACATTTAACGTTACATAAATTTTTCACATTTTCCTATTTCCCACGCCGTATAACACATACACTAAAAAAATGATGTTGTACCAACAGCATTGTTTTAATTGAAAATAATTTTGTTAATTCATAACACTATTAATATAAATACGCCCGCGCTATGCTTTTGTTTTAATAAAATTTTATTTGTTACATTAATAGTGTTATTCAATTAAAAAAATTATTTTCAATTAAAACGATACTGTGGACACCCCATTTTTTTCAGTGTATAAAAAGTGTCTGGTTTTTTTTTTAAAATAAGTAAATAAATGAAAGTAAATCGTGTTATCTACGTATGACGGTCGTATATTTTCTGATATTCTATATAATATATATATACAGTGATTATGCATGGCACAGTTGTTTTCCCGATCTCGCGACTTATTAGTCACATACATGCATTGGAAATGTTATCGACTTAAAGAAATTTGTCCTTGAAAAATTAAAGTGTGCTTCAATCTATGCAGTAAGACACGTTCGATTTACGCAAACCGGCACATTATGTTACGTTTAACGTCATGAGCAGATAACAAGCATGATTGTGTTTATCGCGATCGTTGTTATCGCTGCGTTAGTTGTCGGAGGTCGTCGTTATCGCAGCCGCAGTTCCATCAATCATCCAATTGAAATTCACGAGCAATGTCGCAATTGTACGCACAATTAATAATTTAGTTATCGATTTTAGATGATAATATTAAAAGATTAAAAATTACTCGTTTTTAAATCGTCAGCGTGATAGAGCCTTTATAATTGAGTGTTACATGAAAAAGCTATATACTTCGGTTTTGATACCAAAAATTTTTGTTAGGTGAGCAGCCGCTTTTTATAAACACGATAGATACAAAAAAAAACTTTTTGTCAAAGTATTTAAAATTTAGTTAGCTATAGAAAATTTGACTACATCGGAAAAAGAATCTGGTTGCATTAATTGAAATTCTGGTTGAAAATAAACAAATCAAAATTTTTTAATTAATATAATTCTAATATGATATACAGGATGTCCCGACATTCGAGAAGAATATTATTTCAAAATGAAACTTTGTGAATAATTAAATATTAAAAATATAAGCCATTCTCTTCTTTCCATAAAGTAATTTTTTAAGTATAAACCATTAATATGTTTAATTAGTTATAAATGTTGATTAAAGAGTCATCTATATGATACAGCATTAATGTTTTGTTAAGTCTCCAATATCATTACACGCACGTTACACAGATAGATGACTCTTTAACCAATATTTATAACTAGTCAAACATTAATGGTTTATACTTAAAAAAAACTACTTTACGGAAAGAAAAACGGCTTAGACTTTTATTACTTAATTTTTCAAAATTTCATGTGGAAATATTGTCCTCAAATTTCAAGACACTCTATATATTTATTTAGTACAAGAATCATTAGTTTGATTTGACTATTTTTTGTCTTGAATCTAAACCTTAACATTTATGTGAATGATATAAACTAAAATAAATATTTGGTTATTCTAATAAATATGTATTAAGATTTAATAATTTGTTCTTTAGTGTAGATATTCACATTTGGTGTATTGATAATTATTTTGTATCACAACATATTATACCTGTACTATACATTTTTTCCAAGAAATATTCTAGAACTTATCTGTCAATATCAATTCTTA